ACGGTTCACTTAAATAGTCTATTTCGAAACTTCTTTTTTTCCATTTTACACGCTGTTGATCAGGGGCGGATTGGGATGGCTAAGCGGCCCGGGACTGGGATCACAGAGTGGCCCTGGACAGGTTTTCTGTTAAACTTTTTATTCCGATGATAAAGTGAATTAAAAATTAATTATGATATTTTAAAAAATCTATTGTTGTTCTATTGTGTCTTTCTGTGGCCTATCTGAAAAATAAAAACATATAGCTTTTACCCCCCATAAGTTATAAAACTGAACAAGGTAATTAACGAAATCCCGTTTCCTTGACTTGTCAATTTTTTATTTTTAGCATTGAGAATTTTGGGCCGATCTACATAAAAGTATTGGAGTTGGACTATCTGCCCACCGGGACAAGTCCCGGTATCCCGATAGGCCAATCCGCCCCTGTTCACAACATTCAAAAGAAACCTATTCCAGAGGTCAACCATCTTGTTAGAAAAATAAAACTGTCTTAGCTGAAGATGACTCCTACCTTGCCATTATTTATATTTGTGTCCCCTAGTCCTACTATTCTCACCATTAAGTATGAAAACAAATGATGCATCAACACTATCAGTTCCCTTTACAATCCTAAATACCTCAATCAGATCCCCTCTAACTCTGTTTTTTTTTCCCCAAGAGAAAACAATTTCAGAGATCTTAATCTCTCCTCATACGACAAACCCTCCATCCCAGGCACCGTTCTGGTAACCCTTCTCTGAACCTTTTCCAACAATTCAATGTCCTTCCTAAGGCAAGATTTTCCCTTAGTGAAATCATGTTGACTGTCCAATAAAATTCTAAACTTTGTTAAATGACTTTCCAAAGCATCTTTTATCAGACTTTCCAAAACTTTTCCCACAACTGATGTAAGACGAACAGGCTTATAATTACTTGGACAATTTTTATAACCTTCCAATCTTTAACCTTCTTCTTTGGAGTATTATTTTCAGTCTTGGGCTCCTTGCCTTAGGAAGGACATTGAATTGTTGGAAAAGATTCAGAGGAGGGTTACTAGAATGGTGCCTGGGATGGAGGGGTTGTAGTATGAGGGGAGATTAAGATCTCTGAAATTGTTTTCTCTTGGGAAAAAAAGAAAAGTTAGAGGGGATCTGAATGAGGTATTTAGGATTGTAAAGAGAATTGATAGTGTTGATGCATCTTTTTTTTCATACTTAATAGTGAGAATAGTAGGACTAGGGGACACAAATACAAATTTTGGCAGAGTAGGAGTCATCTTCAGCTAAGACAGTTTTATTCTTCTAACAGGGTGGTTGGCTTTTGGAATGGATTTCCTTCAGATGTTATGCAGGCAGTAAATTTAAGTGAGTTTAAGAGAAAGCTTGATAAGTATATGAATGATAAGGGCTGGCTTTTATTTGAGGTTGACTCATATTTGAACACATGTTGACACCCCATCATTTTGACACTTGAATCCATCTTTTATATTACAGCCATTAGTAGCTTCTGAGAGAAGTTCATTTACTTGGAAAAAAAAAGTAACAAGAATGTAAATTTAACAGTGTTATAAAACATTATATGATATATTCAACAAAACTCAGCAAACCAATATATAGTGTTTGGACCATAAACCATGGCTATAACACAATATTTTCATTATATAACTGCTTCTGGCTGAAAGAGCAGGTTGGAAATATAATATCTCCATACCAATTGATAGCATCAAATTGTCAGATGACTCATTAGCTTATTTTTGTTAATCACTGAGTCACAGTTTTTAATTATATCTAATTCACGATCAGGAAAACTATGAAGCAGCTATCAACAATTTACTTCGTGTTAACTGATTTTCAACGTGAATCATTATTACATCACAAGCTTCCCTCATTACCATGTTTATGTTTACTCAGGTAGTTTTTCCTTTTCACAGAGGTAGCAGTAAGTAGTCCATTAGCAACCTCACTGTCATTGACCAGCCCAGCAAAAGCAGCTAATCTATCTGTATCTATGTGTTCTCTGATGTTTATTATAGCTTTCAGACATTCCTTTAAAAAATGGCAATTTTTAATTTTCACAAAGTTTCAAATATAGAATAAAATATTCCAAGTTTTATTGACTTGTTTGACTCATCACATCCTCTTAAAGCCAATTCACAATACCTACAAAGTTATGATTGTTATCTACTGTGACTTTATTGTGACACTGAAAGTTTCTTTCATACAAACTTTTGATTTGTTCAATAATATTTGTTTGGCCCAAAACTTTCATTGTAATATTGTCTTACATATTAGAAGCTGCAATTTTGTGTTTAGAAGATCTTTTTAACAAATGTTTTATATCTTGGAAACCAGATTTTGTCCACACACACTCACACACACTGTTAAAGCTGAAAAGTAAACATCAAAAACAATACAAACACATTTTGAAAACACTGCAGTCAACCACATTTCTTTTAAACCATTCACATTAGAATTTTTTATCATTGTTATGATTCTCATTTCCACTGTTTATGAACACAAAACTGCAGGAGGATGTGGCATTAGCTATTTTACTTCCAATTTTTGGTACAAATGTGGACATGTGAAGCAGTCCCCAAATAACATCCAGCACATGCATGAGAAAATTACATCAATACAAGAAAGTTGTGGTAAAAGTTAATTGTGAATCACTGTAAGGAAGATCATATCTACAAGACGTATAGAACCAGGCCTCTATACAAATTATATAATGGGATTAAAGCGAAGGTGAGAGAGGAGTGAATGCTCAAAACTTTTAAAGCTATAATAAATAATGAAAGATAATGAGTAATTGCTAGTTTGTTTACTTAATTTTTATATGTATTTAACTGGAGGCTGCCTGGAGGGGTCACTGTTATTACCACTTACACCTATATACAGTAGTGTATTGTCTGTCAGTCAATCAGGAGAAACTAAAATGATGTCACATAAAGGGCACTTAACATGCAATTTATAATGTCATGATGTCAATTAAACATGCACATGCCATGAATCACAAAAAGAATTATGCACTCTAAGCCACAACATAGCATGACATATGAACTTCAAAAGCAAGAAAAAAACATTTGTTATTCTTAATTTTGGTCAAATTTACTCTTGAAACAGAACACTCTGTACATGTAGTTTTTAAAATTTGTTAAATGAGAACAGTCCCCATGTTGAAAACTGCCACTGGTATCTTCATTTTGTAGCACTATAACTTGACATGACTGTAGTGTAAATCACTCTAATGACCTCTAGATATTTGTTACAGTTTATACGTTGCTCCTTGTCATAGTTCATGTGAAAAGTCATTCTCAGAAAAATTGTCATAACCGGTACCCACAACAAGTGCAGCTATTTGGTTGTCAGTGATTATCATAAGAAACAGCTGTTCATATTCTGAATACAGTATAAGGATTACAGATTAAATTTACCATTGTGAAGATTTTTCTATATGACAAACTATCCGGATTGTTGATGCTCGGACTAACCAGAGTTCACTGTTGTTCATATATTACACACTAAATCAATTTTTAAGTAAAGACAGGCACACACTTTTGCAATACATGCTGTTAATACCTCTAGTACAAATAGTAAAATTTCTTTAGGGATGAAGTTAAGTTTTGGATTGCAACGTTTTACCAAGTCTTATGATTACATCAGAATGTTGGACAATATTCCCAAGTATGAAAAATGAATTGAAGCAATTAAATTGCAGTTTTTAACATGCATCTTGAAGGTATTGTTACGTATCTGCTCGTTTGTT